GGCAGGCCTGAGTCACAGGCAACAGCAGGGCTGTACACACAAAGCGAGGCTGGATACATTGTAAAGAAATAAGCATAGAAGCGACGGAATTATAAAATTGAACACTATTATTAAGACCAGATGGCGAGCGCTTATGAATCTATGAATCAATCAACTCCAAAACATACACGACACCACCTCTTTCTTGCTACCCTATACAGACATCCCTCTCATGGATGAACCTGACCATTTTGTCATTAGATTCACCTTTCATCTCACATTCAAGACAAGATTAAAGCAGTAAATCTTCGCTACTGTCAACGTGAACAAGTCCACACATTGACCTTGGCCAGATAAGGCATTGCCACGCGCTGCTCTTATATCCCCAGCTCCTCAAACCAGATTCAACCACCAGCACACACAACTTAGCCGGTGGCCCGGGTCAACGAGAACTCACCTAGCTGCATCGAGATGGAGCTAAACATGTTTTCTACCTCCGCTGGAGAAGCTGAGCTAAAAAAACCACATCTGCGGGGGATCATGTGACACTCCAGATTCTCGATCGGCCTGAGTCGCCCACCTCATCGTCTGCTGCCTCATTCAACAAACTCAGCCTCGAGATCCGGTAGACGGGGATGGCACACGTTCGACTGATGCACCATCGCCCGCCCTCGAGGACCACGATTGAATAACCCCAGCGCCGGGCGCGTGATGCCTGGTCGAGCCGGGGCAACATGAGTACCACCCTCTCCCCGGACGAGTTCGTCTTGGATCCGGGGTATCTCGCCTTCCAGGAGGAGCTGCGATGCCTCATCTTCCACACGGCCCAGACGGCTGCCCCGTCGAGAGAAGGCTCTCCCGGACTCGGGATCCCACCAGACGGAACGTCCTTTTCGCCCGAGCAGCAGCAGGAGACACAGGCACAGGTCAAGGCCATCCTGTCCACCGGCCGCCACGTCGAATATCTGAAGAACTATGTTGCTGAAGTTGCGCCCTGGGTATGTATTCTATTTTAAACTATCCTATTAATTTCATTATTTTATCCAGAATATCTCAATGGAATTAACTGACTGTCCCAGCTCGACATGTTCGACAGCAGCAGGACCTTCACCATCCAGGTCCCGAATCTCGCTCAACGCTGTCCCGCTCTGCTCTATGCCATCCTCGCCCTCTCAGCACGCCAGATTGAGCGCAAAGAGGGCAAGCAACACTCGTTTGACAGCCTCGAGCTCTACCAGGAAGCCATCCGCCTGCTGAACCCTCTCCTCCAGGCCAAGGACCTGGCCATCATCCCCATATGCGTCATCCTGTGCTGCCTCGAGATGATGTCGGCAAGCCCGCACGACTGGCGCAAACACCTCGAGGGCTGCGCGGCCCTCTTCGACGCCTTTGGCGTTAATGGCTTCAGCGGCGGGATGCTACAGGCCGTGTTCTGGTGCTACGCGCGAATGGGTACGTCCATCCCCTTCCAAACCCTCCTCATCCCCATCTAAGTCGTCTACATCACAGACCTCTGCGGCGCCCTCATCTCCGACGGCACGCAGGCCACCCTCGTCAGCATGGACAGCTGGCTCTCCCCCGGCTCGCCGCAGTTCCAGGCCGCCCACCTCTTCCGCGAGCACGCCTCCCCGGACATGCACGCCAACTACGCCGTCTTCCTCTGCGCCCAGGTGTGCGAGCTCATCGCCGACCGCACCCGCTTCGTCGAGCTGGGCGACCGCACTAACGGCTGCGACGCCCCCTCCTTCGAGCGCCGCTGGCTCGCCCTCTGGGACTCCCTGCAGGCCTGGGTCCGCGACCGCCCCCCCGACATCGTCCCCGTCGAGCTCGTCGACGCCCAGCCCTTCCCGCAGATCCTCTTCGTCCACTGGGCGGGGATATCCTCCAACCAGCTGTACCACACGGCCTGCATCCTGCTGCTGGGCTGCGCGCCCGCGGGGCTAAGGCTCCAGGACCCGGGCCACGTCGGCTCGGCCGTCTGGCACGCAAAGTGCATCTGCGGCATCTCGTTCACGAACCCGCATAGGGGGTGTCTGAACAACGCCATCCAGCCGCTGTGGATCGCGGGGAGGCTGCTGAGCCACCGGTCGGAGCACGTGCTCATCGCCAAGCTGATCCGGAGCATCGAGAACATGACGGGGTGGGCGACGTGTTGGAGGATCTCTGATTTGGAGGTGGCCTGGGGACATACCGTGCCTAGATCACCGCGGAGAGTACTGAAATGAACTGTAATTGCATATGGGGTATTGATCCCTGGGTATATAACGTTATGTACGAGTATAGCTATACTACAAAACAAAAAACAACATTATTAAATCACTCGCTTTTGTTTGCTTCCCATGAATCATCAATCCGGCTGCCACAGACTACTTAGATGCTCCGACAGCCCGCTCAGATTCCACCCCGTGATAGCCGCGATCCGGTGGAACCCGCCCAGGACGGCGTTCTGCTGCGGCTCGTACGTCATGCGCTGCGCGGCGAGGAACAGCGAGGCGACGAGGCTAAAGTCCCAGCTGCACCGGTCCTCGTTGTTGAGGCTGATGCCGCAGACGCGCTGAGCGTGCCATAGCGGCGACACGAGGATGGAGCGGCCGGCGGCGTCCTTGCTGAGGGTGCGGGGCCGGTTCTGGAGGAGGAGGAGCATGGCGGTGTGGTACAGCTGGTTGGCGAGGACAGCGGCCGCGTTGGTGAAGAGGATGGTGGGGAAGAGGTTGGTGGTGTCCGTCTCGCTGATGCTGTCCTCGAGCTCGACCATGGGCTTGAAGTCCTGGGGCCGGTTGGCGTACCAGATGTTGAGGCTCTGGGAGAGCTCCATCCAGGTCTGGACGGTGCCGACGTGCGTGGGCTGGCCGGTGTCGCCGTGGAAGCACAGGTTGAGCACTTGGGCGCAGAGGAGGGCGGGTTCTCGGTCGTAGCCGAGCATGTCGCGGGAGAGGTTTCGAGAGGAGGGCGATGTGATTCCGGAGGAGAGGATGTTGGGGACGAAGACGGGCGACTTCATCACCAGTCCAGTGCTTAGATCTGTTTAATCTATTAGTTACTCCATTCTTTTGAGACGAGAGATTGTTGGCCTTACCAAACCGAAGCAGCACCCAGGCTGATGCCACATTGATGCTGGTGTATTGTTGACTGGCCGCAGCAGAATTCAAGAACTGCACCCAGACGCTGTTGACGTCTTGGAACGGCCGCTTCCAGGCAAGCGGATGTGTCAAGATGTGGTGCCGCGTCATGTTTAGCACAAAGGCAGCAAGATCGATTGTGAAGCTCGTATCTGAAGGAGACATGTACTGGCTGCTCGTCTCTGAGGGATAGTATTCTCTCCCCACCTCACTGTCAAGAGAGACGGAGGACAAGATCAACAAGGCCTCTAGCACTGGGGGGCAGAGTGATGCCATGCGAGCGACCTGGAGCCCAAACGTTTGACCCGAATCGCCAATATCAAGCTGTACCAATCATCAAAAGTTAGCTGGGAAAGGTCTTGTATAGCTAGTCAAACGTACCCATGGCGCAATATTATATCGGTAGTGGCGTATCAGCTGAATCTTCTCGCTCTGCGGAAGATGCGCGCAGTTGGGAAACAACTCCTTCAACGAACCGGAGCTCTGGACGGTCAATCCGGGGCTGGACGCAAGCTCGTTGGAACCCGCCAACGAGAATCCGCTGCCGCCACCATGTATTCCCTTCTCGAAGCTCGAATTGTCGGGATGGCTGAGGGATAGCAACACGTTCAAGGCCGTGTCGTACGCCCTGTGGCCCGGCGACGTCTCGTCCGTCTCGTGGTTTTGAGTGGTCGGTGTGGCAGCAAAGTCTTGTCTCGCGTCGACAGACTGAGGGATCAGCGCCGGGTCGTGCGATGTGTGTAGAGAGAGCGGCGGGTTCGACAATGCAGAGCCTGGTTCTTGTTCACGGTCTCGCGGTATCGCATCGAGGTCGGTCGCGTTCGTGAGGACGGTCGACGGCGCTGAACTGTCGCTCGTTTGCGGACGAGGCTCGGACGAGACAGACAAGTCTTCTCGGGGTTTACTGGTCTGCTTGGATGTGACGGATCCAGGTTCGACGAACTGCGCAGCTCCCTCGTCAGCGAATGATCCTCCCTTTCCATCAGAATATATGAGGCGGTTCAACATACCCGAAGCGTCGAGTACGACGAGGAGGCCGGTTTCTCGGTCGATCCAGGCGCCGTGAGCGAGTTCTTATCGAGGAACGAGAGCCGCGTGCCATACTGGCAGTCGAAGCCGCCGTCGCGACATCGCTGGCATTTGGGTTTCCCTTCGTCGCCTGTCGCAATTGGGCCGCCGTTAGCGCATCAAAACCGAAGAGCAATCGACCGTCATATCATCAGTATCATTCCTACATTTACGCCTGCGCACACGGCACTTCAAACAACCGGTGCGCGTCCTCTTGAAGCGGGTCTTGTCGCCCGCATTGGCGGACATGGTTGATGGGCGGTGGAAGCAGCGTACAGAAACGAGCAGACGGGGGCTCGAAGGGTAGAAACTTCCGGAGAGGGAAGTCCTGAGATCAACTGGGGGGTTTCATCTTGCATCCCCGCCTTTTGGCCCAGCACCTCCGCTCTGTGTCTGCAAGTGTAGCTGAACTGGAGGGGCTGGAGTCGGGCTGCTAAGCTGGGGAGGTCACAGGCTACTTCCTGACTCGAGCTGGAAGCTTGTAGCCGAGGAAACATACCAGAGCTAAGCCATTGGTGTTTGGGCTGTGATCCACTCACCCAGTTCTCCCGAAGATACCACATCTGGAAGTTGTAAGCACTCGGTGGTGGCTCGTCGCCCTGCCCGCTTGGGTAATGCCTCATTTTTTGGAGGGGCAGTTCCAGTTCACACTTGAGAGTGACGTTAGTTTGGCGTCGTTTCTTTCTGCGAAGTGTTTTGGCTGTGGACTGGATGGAGTGGAGGGGTCATGTAATAAAGGGGATGGAGGGGACGTCCCCAAGTGCGCGTTTCCTCTCTCCCTTCTTCATACTGATCAATTGATTGATTTGAATCCGTCTACAAGTTCCAGCCATCATGTCTACTACCGTCAAGCTCGCTTCTGGCCGTGAGATGCCCCTTGTGGGCTTCGGTCTCTGGAAGGTCCCCGCCGAGACCGCCGCCGAGACCGTCTACAATGTGAGAAAATGCCCCTCAATTGACCATGTGGGAGATTCGCAATGCTCACCCATCTACTGTAGGCCATCAAGGCCGGCTACCGTCTGTTCGACGGTGCCTACGACTACCAGAACGAGAAGGAGGCCGGCGAGGGCATCAAGCGCGCCATCGCCGAGGGTCTGGTGAAGCGCGAGGACATCTTCGTCACCACGAAGCTGTGGAACAACTACCACCGTCGCGAGCATGCTCTCGAGATGGCCAAGCTTCAGAACGAGGCCTGGGGTCTGGGGTACATCGACCTCTACCTGATTCACTTCCCCGTCTCGCTCGAGTACGTCGAGCCTTCCAAGCGCCGGTTCCCTGTAAGTACTCAACAATTGCTTCTTCATACGCCCCCTGCTATAGAAACTGACCTCGTTAGGCCTGGTGGATGGACGACAACAGGGAAGTCGTCTCTTGGGACAAGGTACCCATCCGTGAGACGTGGGAGGCCCTCGAGACCGTCGTCGACCAGGGCATCGCCCGCTCCATCGGCGTGTCCAACTTCCAGGCCCAGTCGCTCTACGACATCCAGACGTACGCGCGCCACCCCATCTCGGCCCTCCAGATCGAGCACCACCCCTACCTCGTCCAGCCCGACCTCGTCGCGCTCGCCGCCGAGCTCAACATCACCGTCACCGCCTACTCCTCCTTCGGCCCCCAGAGCTTCATCGAGCTCGCGGGCATCTTCTCCGCCCGCGCCAAGGACACGCCCCTCCTCCTCGAGAGCGCCGCCATCAAGGCCATCGCCGACAAGCACGGCAAGACGCCCGCCCAGGTCCTCCTCCGCTGGGCCACGCAGCGCGGCGTCGCCGTCATCCCCAAGTCCAACAACCCGGGCCGCCTGGCGCAGAACCTCGACGTGACGGGCTTCGACCTCGCCAAGGAGGAGATTGAGCAGATCTCGGGGCTGGACCGCGGGCTGCGCTTTAACGATCCCGGCTTCTACCTGCCCAACCACCCTCTGCGCATCTTCGCTTAGATGGTGTGTGAGTAGGAAAAGAAAAAAAAAATTAATGAAATAGAGGATATGATAATAAAAAGAAATTTGGAAATGATTGTCAAAGTCTGAAAAGCAAGTGCTGTGTGTCCATTGCAAATAGCGTCCTACATGTACCATGCCATTCCAATGTCAATCTGTACGGGAGGGTCCGATCTCTTTGGTAGAGTGAATGAAAAAAAGTTAGGGAAAAAGAAGACAAGGAAACAAATCTCCGGGTTAAATTCTCAGAATATTGACATTCTCGCTTTGGGTGTCTCTAGAAGTTGATTCTTGACGGCTAAACTTTTTACCTCAGGCCCCGGAAAAATAACGATTGTTTTTTTTTGTTTCCAGTGCAGGTACCTTCTAGAGCAGCTGCTGAGAAAGTACAGCAGGGCCTAACCGCTATTTCTGGCTGGGCGGGTATTAGTTTGCCCTCACTCAGCTCGGAGTCTTCAGTCATACAGGAATGAATCTCCCAACCCAAGCTTCAAACCTGCAGTGCTCCTCCGACCGATTGCTCCTCAAAGAATACTGTAGTCAATTGCCACCGCCATGCCGATCCCTCGTCGAAGCCTCCCGTCGGAGGATGAGCTGCGGGAATTCTACGTCGGCCGAGACATCAACAGCCTCCCGAAGCCCGCCATCGTCCTCGATGTCGCCAAAGCAAGCCGCCATGCAGCTCAGATGCTTGAGGCTGCTCAATCGCTCCGCGTGGCATTTCGAGCGCATGTAAAGACACACAAGGTTAGCCAATGACCAATACTCGGCAACCCTTGTCGCAATGCTGACCGGAGATGATAACACAGACGACGCAACTGGCTCGCATGCAGGTCGGCGAGTCCCCCGATGCGGCGAGATTCGTGGTATCGACAGTCGCTGAGCTGGAGCACATGGTCCCTGTCTTTGAAGACTTCACGCGCAATGGACGTTCAGTCGACGTCCTCTACGGCATCCCCATCCCGCCGTCCCAGATCGTGCGGATTGCCAAGATAGCCATCCGTCTTCGCCTCGTCTCCATCTCCTTCCTGGTCGACCATCCTTCACAGCTTACGTCGCTCAGTGAATTCTATGATCTGGTCGGATCCCCGGCCGGTGTATTCCTCAAGGTCGACACAGGCTACCACAGAGCAGGCCTCCCTCCCAGCTCACTCAACAAACAGGGTCTGATCCAGGAGACCGCACAGCTCGAGTCGCAGGGCAAAGCTGTCCTGGCCGGGCTGTACTCGCACAGCAGCCTCAGCTACAAAGACACGACGGCCGAGCAGGCCATGGACAACCTGGCATCCGAAATCGACGGCTGTCTCGAGGCAATTGCCGTCAACGCCCAGCACTTCCCCAAAGACAAGAAGCTCATCGTCAGTGTCGGCGCCTCCCCTCAGGTCACATCAATCCAGAACTTTGCACCTGTCTCGGGGAACGCGCCGAGTAGCAAACTTGCAACAAGCTTGCAGCACATGTCGTTGCATCCTGGCGTGGACCTAGAGCTCCATGCGGGCGTGTACTCCGTCCTCGACATTCAGCAGCTCAGCACCAATTCGCGAACCTCGTTGGGTTCTTTTGACGATGAGATCGCGGTGTCGGTCGTGGCGGAGGTGGCCAGCGTCTATAACGACGGCGAACGCAGCCAGCCTGAAGCGTTGGTTGCTGTTGGCGTCCTCGGCCTGGGGAGGGAACCAGCCGCGTATGGCGGTTGGGGCGTTCTCAGCCGTGCATCTTATCCTTCGGCGGGGGGTGCAGATGGGCGCCGACTGATCTTGGAGAGAATCAGCCAGGAGCATGCCATCGTCGCCTGGGAGAAGACGGAAGGGGATGACAACACTTCCCACTTGCCCCCGATTCCCCTTGAAGTTGGCCGAACGGTCTCCATCTTCCCCAACCACGCTTGTATCACGGGAGCAATGTATGACTGGTACTTAGTAGTAGACTCTAGCTCAGGCTCACCAACACGTGTAATTGACGTTTGGGTACGAGCATCGGGATGGTAGAAGAAATTAAGTACCACTCTGACGCCGAGTTTGCCGTGTATTTCCACTTCAACTTGTCCGTAGAGTACTTGATTGTGAAGAACTATAGATCTCTACAAAGTATTCTCAATTAATCGATTGGAGGAGAGAGTACGTATTATATTCTATGAAAAGCTTAGCTGTATCAGTTTCTATCAACTCCACGTTAAGGATGTCCCTCTGGCTTCTCAACCTGCCCCCGGCCCAGAAAAGGGCACGCGGCCTGGGCGGCGGCATGCTCACTCTCATTAGCATTCCCCTCGTCCATTTGACGGAACATATCCATCGGATCAAAGTAAATATCAAGCATGGTCACACGCATCTGATCGTCCAATTCCGCGACTGCCATCCCCTTGATATCAATCACCTTGCCCGTCGACTTTACCGTCACCTTCTCGCCCTGCCTATACACTGGTCAGAAATCATGTCCTTTATTTGCAAAAAAAAAAAAACCTCATAAGATCATTTACTCATTCTTAGCTGTGTAGTCCCCCTGGAAAGTACCCCAGTGACGCCACCGAATAGCCAGCTTCGGCGGCCCGCCATACACATCCAAGACCTCCCACGCGAAAAAGGGCATCATGCGCTTAAAAGTCTTGTGGCTGGCGGAGAAGTCGTTGTGCTCCGGGCTGTAGTACTTGTTCGGCTCAATCAGGGCATTGTAGGTCCCGATCCTGGCCATGGCCTCTGCGGGCTGGGGAGGGCCGCCGTTGAGACGGAACTGGTACTTTTCGGCGTTGATGGTGCGCCATTCCTTGGGGTTTGGCTTATAGGATGCCTCGATCTCCCAATTCTTGACCACGTTCTCGACGAGCTCTTCTAGGCTGCCGGCAGTGTGGTTCATGGTCCTGGCTGATGGGCATATTGTTTAGTATTCGCCAACTAATTAATCGTAGGGGGTATTGAGAGGAGGGTATTGCCAGGGGATGGAGGAGAAAAAGAGGGCTATTCTTACTTTCTTTCCATGCTTTTCTGTTCTTGGTGTAGTCTGGACGCCGTCCAAACCGCCAGGTGGCCTCGTCCTTGAGGACAGCGTCTGGGGAGAGGAAGTAGTCCGGGAGAGCGGGAGCTTCTTCGGCACCCATTATAGATAATGTGCTGTTCAAATGGGAAGGGTGTGTATCTTGGGGTCTAAGACAGAATACAGTAGAAAGGGATGGCCTGAGAATCATGTAAGTGAATTTATCAGACAAGAGTTTGAAGACTCAGAGGGCCTTTCTATCCGAGTTGACCAGCTTATATAGACCCAATGCCACGTAAAAAGCAACAGATGGCCCGGCTATGCCCCTATCACTCTCCACGGACAATTACATCCTCCTCTGCTATCAGAGTTCTAGTTCAGGGAATTACTTCTGTTTACACCAGTGCTTGGACCTCTCCGCGTACGCCACCCGCGCGCTACTTAGGTATTTTCCTCCTCCGCGCGCTTCCCACGTGGATCGTGCCCAGACTATTAACCATTGTGGGGAAATATATCCTGCCTGCTTCCCGTACGGCTGAAGCAGCTGGGATTTGAGGCCCTTGTCCCAACACGATTAGAATATTACGGTGTGCGTGTAGATATTATCCGCAAGTAGGAGAGCGGAAGATAACAACGAGCCCTGCAACCAATCAACTGCAATGGGTTACCACTTACGCGAGGTCTAACATCACCAGGGCAGTTTCTCTTATCATACCATCGATCTTATAGGCTGCAAAATCTTGCGTTAGCTCTTAATGTAGCTGGGGCACGTAATCAAATAGTCAGGATTGGGATCTATGACAAGTCGTTTACTGGTTGAAAGTCATCATATGATAGGATGCCAATCCTTTTTTGCTTTTCTTGCGAAATTTCCAGTGGCTGGGCTAATGTAGCTAGAGGCAGGCAGCTGAAGGCAGCATGATGTGCGGCTGGATGGATAGGACACCTTGGCAGAAAGGGGTATTCAAAGAAACACGGAAATCACCGAGGGAGCTTGATAATGACTCTCGTGGCAGTGGCAATCCTGACAAGGGACTAGCCTAGATCAATCCAAGGTTTAAGAAACCAGATCATCGAAGGCCCGTCAGATCGTGATCGGTTACACACGCCGGACACTTGAGTTAGGGCGGTGGGGGCAACCCCTAGCCTTCATGTAGCCAACCGAATGCATCTTATTTGCCAATGGGGCGTTTTACTGTTACTAGCCATTCTGGGGGTCTACGAGTATGCATACGTAGGCCAGATTCCCCGGTAGAAAACGTGTCGCACAGCTAAAATGTAGCGGGTGATAGCACAAGGGATGTGGGAGACGGTGGTCACTATGGTCGGCCGCGGCCCGTGGGATCTAACTTCTTGGCTGCTCTCTAGAAATTATTAGGAATAGTCAAGGCCAAGGCTCGGGATATTTGTCGTCGTGCCAGTGATGGACAGTTTCTGAGATTTCCTTCTCCAGTCCAACTTCGAAGACAAGATCGTCAATGAGTCCCGCGGACGTAGTCTTCGCAATGGTCAATCATGAAATGGCAATACGGGAGGGACCCTGCATCTGCTGCGATTCAGGTGGTGGAGCTCATCTTCCCCTGGTCAGTTTCACTGTCAGTACGGAGTAGCGAGTTCGTTGATGAGTTCTTCAGAGCAAAACCAACGGAGACAGATGGGCATGCTTGATTCTTGGCCGAATAATATAATTTGTGGCTGTTCTCTCTCTTGTTGAAGATGCTTGCTTTTCTCAAGTAAATGAATGCCCACCTGACAGCAGAAGCTCACGGGATATTCACCTTTTCTTCAATTCGAGGTGCTGCGCCACTTGCTCAGGGGGTAGCTGCTGAGGCTGTGCAAAGGAGACGCGAACAGGCAGTCATTTGGGCTCTCGTTTCCAGCGAGAATACCGGGTTTCAGGGGACCGAGAGCTTGATTTTAGCATAGTGAATGACCTAGGCAAGCTAGAGATTAGTCAATTTTGGCTCGTGTTGATCTTGTTACGTAGCCCATCACCGTGTACTGCCCTCACCAGCCACCCCAGCGTTTCAATTTCTCTCCTTTCACAATCACTCAACGAAATCTCAACGTGAAATCTCTCCTTGCCAGGATCAAAGTCAATTCTTAGCCGTTTTCACGCTGCCAGATTGCTTCACCAATTGACAGCGCGCGGCAACCCACAGCTCCCACCCACATCCCAGAAGGCAGCCGTGCCTTGCATCTCCCACACATCCAGCAAAACGTCATTACCCCTGTCCGCCTTGGGGATGTGCTTCAAAGACAAGGCCAACGCAGAGCCCGTAGAGGAGGCAATGCCTCCGGTGAGGATGCCAACGGGACGCAGAACAGCCGCAGCAACTGCCCGCCTCAAGGAGGCCCAGGCCCAGTCTTCCCAAAGCAGTGAGCTCAACAGGAAGAAGAACTCGTGGGAAAAGGCAAGCCAAACCCACGCCTACGGTGGACCCACCTCTGGCTCAAACAGCGGCAACATTGATTCGGGAGGCCTTTACGGCGGCGTCAACGGGGGCGTCTATTCCGGCGTCTACGGAGGACCCAACGGGGGAGTCAATGGAGGTGTCTATGGCGGTGTCTACGGGACGAGCCATGGCGGAGGGTACATGGGCAACGGAGGCGGCCATTCCTACCATGGAGAGGGGAACCATGCTTGGGATTGAACGATCCTCCGCCTTGGTTGCCAGGGCATTCTAGAGGCTTCGTTCCGAATGATTTTACGACTTTTCACTACGGCATTTTGATCTTCTTGGCGTTTGAGCGTATAGAATGGGTGGATATATCAGGGATTCTCTGTATTGCACAATGACATCGGCTATTTCTTCAATAGATCTCATTCTCTTCGAGCCTTTCATCATCGTGCCAGGTCATGCGTGTTCTGTACTCGCAAATCTGTTTTGCTAATAATACAACGGAGTAATTCTGAAGGTCTCTGCTCGAAATCCAGTGTCTTGCATTTGTGAAGTCAGATATGTTTTCAATGAAGCCACAAGAATCAATATCGCTAGCATATCTATTATCTATGCAATATTCGATATAAACATCAGCCAGTGGTCAAACATTAGAAATTTATTTAAGATGTGGCAATCCCCTCGACTGCAATGACAAGGTGCATTCCAACATAGAGTCCCGTAGGGCAAATACTTGACGGCCGTTAATCCGTTTGTACATCGCCCGAGATTTCTAGACCCCCGGACGTGCCGTGGGTCACGGGTAGCTACGATGCATACGCTGCCCGGGGAGCTGAGCAGTATGGGGCATGATGTGATGAGGTGATGAGGGACATGCCGGGTCTGCTTGGGCCGGGCCGGGTCCGTATCCTCTCTGGCGAGACTGCACGATCATCATCAAGATGATAATACATGTTAGCATATATTTTCTCCTTCATGGGACACAGACTGCGGTGAGTGGCGTCCCCTCTGGGTAGGTCTGGAGCAGGACATGGGATGAGGCGGCCTCAATTGGCATGTTTTAGATTCAATTGAACAAGATCAGTCTATTGACGATTGGCTTGTTAAAAGGCTGGTCCCTGCGCCAAGTTGGTCGATGCCAGATGCCTGAATATCAGTCACAGCATAGACGAACCGCGTCGAGACAAGGCATGTATGTTGAGTAGACCGAGCGGCGTCTTCCGACAAAGCTGGAGGCCCAATTGGGAACTGGTGGCCGCTATCACATCGTGTCACATCGCATCGCGGGTAACTATGTAGTATTCTGCGTGATCCATGGCAGGCTGGCATGTGTGTTTACCCCAACTCAACTCCACATCCGATGCCTACGTACATGGTGCTTCCCATATCTATTTGGGATACAGGTAGTAATAACGAGATCAGCTCATCCATCCTCTGCCACAGAACAACAGACGGGACGAAGAACAGTGAGACTCCACCCGACTGACCTGGAAAGTGAGCCCTGAGAGAGCGACATATCGCTCATGCCCTCGACCCACTAATAGCGGATGCCCCCGGCAGGGAACAGGGCGAGAGAAAAAGAAAGGCATGTGCTCGTGCGGGCTCTGAACTGCAGGATATTCGTTATGCAGGCAGACAGACCGAGCTGAGCTGAGCCGGGGCAGCCCGAGCCTGTGTGGCCCAATTGGCCACCGGACGAGAGAATCAGAGCAGGCAGACACAAGCACGAAGAGAACGCGGATGGCTGGCCCGAGTCAAGTCACAGGATTGGGGGGTTACAGCGGAATCTGACAATTCGGCAGCCTCCGCAAGGGCCTGTCAGATGGGATGGGCGTCTGCTGGGCTTTTGATTTTTTTCTGCTCTCCCCTGAAATTCCCGATAAACGTGTGCGGCTCGCGGACGTTCCCTGCCACCACCCCATTCTCCTCGCTGCCCCTGCCACAATGAACCCACAATCTTGGAGCTGTTCCGGTGTTTTGGCCTCTTCCCCCTCAGGAGCCCAGGAGGGGAGGCACAGGGCCGTAAGCACGCATTGGCTGGGCCAACAACTCGCCGTCGGGCATGGAGCAGACACGGCTTGGGACACGGGGTGAGACACTCCTCCAACTAGTCGTATGGGGCCTGCAAAGCATCGAGCCATTGGCATGGGAGAGGGCCTGGAGATGGGCCGCCTCACGTGCCCAACTCGGTCTGTCTGGCAGCAGATGACGCAGGGCTTGTGCCAGAAGAGGCCAATCGTCTGCCGGCAAACTGAAGACGTCTATGCTGGGCTTTTAGGCCGCTCTGGATTGGTAGGCGTGCTTATCCCATCTGTCCATCTGTCCATCTTGGCCGTCGGAGATTCACCAGATGGCACAGCAACGATTGACGAAATCTAGGCTCTGGCAATCAGGAGGCAAAGTGAGCTGATTGTCCGCTTGCCCTCGGGCTGTTGGAAGGAGCTCAGAGATAATATCCCGGGGCCTTCAGCCTTGCAAAAAGCTCTTACGTCGAACCACAATTGCATCATGCAAGTTTGTTCGTTTCCCTGCAGAGGCTGCGCCCCGCCCATCAGGTGCTTCTCTCTGGCTGTACAATGATAGCAATCCTTCTTGGTGGTGAATAATAGAAAAGCATGGGCCATATTGACCGAGCTCTTTACTTTGGGTGCCCGCAGTCTGGAGCCGGATCCTGAAACTTGCTTTTTCCTCGTCTCAGTCCAACCAAGACCAACCTCCCACTATTGATATTGATCAAACTTCTGTCGGCTTCCATCCGGCAAAGACTCTGCTGTAGCTCTCTCTTTTGTCATTCCATTCCCAGCCATCGCCAGACCGGCGCTCAGCCAATTGAGCCCCATATACATAATCCAGTCCACTGAAACGGACCAGATCCCAACCACCTACCCACCAAGCCTTGGCTCTTATCTTCTTCCCCGCACGCTAATCGTGGTGTTCGCTTTTTTTCTTCTATTCTACGCATTCCTCTGCTCGTGAAAGCCACGGCTCGATAATCCTAATGCCTCAAGACCACTCCAACACCGCCAAGCTGGAGGCCAATACGCCCTCGCCCCCTCGCACCGCGAGCCACAGCGGCTCCATCTTCGGTCGCGAGCGCCTACGCCGATCCGTCCTCGAGTCCGACGTCCGCGAGAAGGAGAAGGAACTCACCAAGCTCCAGGGATGGTGTGAGGGGCTCGAGCGCGCCCTCGCCAAGGAGCGCTCCGAGTCGCACCGCCTGGCCACCGACCTCCAGGACACGCAGACGTCGCTCTCGCAGGAGCGCGAGGACTGCCGCCGCCTCAACTCGGAGCTGCACGAGGCCCAGAAGCGCATCGACACCCTCGACGCCCTCCTCGAGGAGGACAACGACAACGCCGCCGCCGCCCACGACACCCGCAGCGTCTCCTCGGGCTCGACCCGCGACCAGCAGCTGCAGGAAAAGGTCCAGCACACCGTCGTCACCAAGAACAAGGCGCTCGAGAAGAACGCCACCCTCAAGGACCAGCTCGAGCGCATGGACGACCGCGTGCTCTCCTGCCAGGCCGAGCGGGACCAGGCGCGCCAGGAGAGCAGCCAGCTGCGCGCCGAGGTCGCCGCCATGAAGACGGAGAAGAAGGCCATGCAGCGCCAGATCGACAAGGCCGCCAAGGAGGCCCAGAAGGCGAAAGAGGAGCAGCAGAAGATGGCGCAGGAGCTGGCCGCTAAGGACCAGCAGCTCCAGCAGCTGCGGGCGCGCGTCGTCGACGAGGAGAGCCGCAACATGGTGCTGAGCCGCCGGATAGCCAGCCTCGAGCTCATCACCAGCGAGACCCTCAAGGGGCAGGGCAACCGCTGGTTCCACGTCGGCGCCTGGGTGCAGCAGATGTGCAGCTCGTCCGCCGCGGCGAGATATTTCGGCTGGATACGCCGGCCGTGGTGGAGGCTACACAAGCAGGAGTGAACGAGAAATGAGGCCTTTTCTTTTCTTATCATTGTCTTTCCTTTTGGTTAAACGAACGCATGTCTCGCCGAAATAGCAGAACGAGCGACAGGAAGTCGTTACGTATGGAGTTGGCTGGAGTTTCTTGGGACAATCATCATCATCATTGTCATTGTATTTACCTCTTCATTCTCTACCTAGAAGAATCTAACCACTCTCGACGAGGACTCATACCTACGATCCATCACCATATCTTGCACCCTCTGCTCTTCCAGCTTCTCGTGAAGGCCTCCATCCATCCGTAAACCTCGCCCATCCCATCCCCTCCGAGCTGGAGCCCAATGCTTACGACGCTCCTGCGCGAATATTCGAGTGGATGGCTACATGTCAGAAAGGGTCACATCGGGCGCTGATGCACCCAACGGAGGCCCTGTGCCTCAGCTGAAGGTGCTGTGATGGACATGTGGTCTGCTGTAACGCACTGAAACGACGGCGCCATCTAGACGACCAATAGATGCACCATTTGCCAGGCTTTGTTTTGTCAGGCAGAAGCGAGTTTCGCCACTTGAGGGCGGCCTACAGCCCAAATGCTACCTTAGGTAGCGGCTTCGTCTTAATGGTTGAAGCTCGTATCGGCTCGTTCATGATTCAATAGGCCCATGTGGTTGAGAATGATTGGGTGGAGTGACTGACCTGTGAGAATCATGAAAGGTTGATGAGCAGCATCAATTCATCCTTTATTACGATATGATGGGCTCGCTGTGATGAAAGAAGCGCTACATGCATCCATTTAAGCAAGTCGAATGGTTAGAAGGAGATCGAACGTTCGGTAACCTTTGACCCCTGGTTTTTCTGAAGGATGCCGGTCATGGTGCGTTCGTTCATAATCCGCTATGAATCTCGTCCATGAATAACCATGTATTGTGCACATACATCGTGAGAATGCAATCAAAGCCAGGGTAGGGTGGGAGATGATGATCCCCTCATTACAAGCAATGCACCATGCTCTTCTAAATTACTCAAATTACTCGGGAACACTAAAAGAAACATAATAAAAAAAAGCGAACAAGCTGGATGCACCAAACGGCTGCCACAATGAGAAAGCATCGAGGAGTTGGTAAGAGTGAACGTATAGGGTAGGCGAAAATGTTATGAAAAGAAGCAGAGGCTATTTCCCATAGATCAGATCGGATACAGAGACTACAGTGAAAGATATTACTATAAAATAACCATCGTCCCATCGATGAAAACTTCTTGTTGCCATGTGGAACCTAAAATTAACAAACCTTGCCCCAGCAGATCATAAAATGACCAGACCCTCCTCAAACCCCATGTCATCCCACATATGGAT